CAGCAGAAATCCCCCAAAGTTGGCCCTGCAGAGGAGGCCTCCTCGCTGTCCCAGGAGGTGCAAGCCAGGGGGGACCCTTCTCAGGACCCCCATGTTCCCCAGGGTGAGCCCAGAAGGAGGACCGGCCCTGCTGGAGGTTGGACTGATGGACGGGCAGCGGAGGGGGCCGCATCTGGGAGCCACGGCCATGTCCGGCCAAGTCTTGGCCGGAGAAGGTGGCCATGGAGGCTTCTCGGAGGTCCCGGTTGCCCCTTCCGGGGACAGGGCCACGCTCCCGTTCGGAAGCGCCTTCGGGGTCTGAGGCCCGGGGGCTGGTGGCCGTGGCCTCAGCAGGGGCGGCAGAGCAGAGGAGCCCGGGTTGAGCCCCGGGCACCTCCGCTTTGTGGGACTTTGGACCCCCTTGCCAGGGAGGAGCTGGGCTGGAGAGACTCAGACGGCCTCTGCAGAAGCCGGCGTGATGCAGGGAGGTTATCTTGGCACGGACAGGATGACCAGGGCAAAAAACGGCCTAAAAGGGGATATCACCCCAATTCACAGGGAGGAATCCTACCTGTGGCTTTTATTTTATTTTATTTTATTTTATTTTATTTTATTTTATTTTATTTTATTTTATTTTATTTTATTTTATTTTATTTTATTTTATTTTAATAATTTATATGGCCATCTGATGTGACTCTGGGGAGCTTATAAAAAAAAAGCCATTCTGGATAAAACAACACTCAATTATTCCGCACGACAACCCAATGATCCATGGGCAGAGATTCTCTTCTGACACCACTTTGGGGAGAGTGGTGGATTCCGATGTCCTCATCTCAAACCTGTGGCCCTTCCTTCCCTTTTGCAGATGTCTGGGATACCACCAACTGGTGTTGCACCGTCACTGGCCTCCTGTGCATCTGCGCGATTCTGCTCTTTCTGGTGGTGACCATGGTTCTGAAAGGTAAGGGTCCCCACTGGCTTCTCACCTTTGCAAAAAGAAATCCCCTGGGGAGGGGGCAGGAAAGACCTGTTGCCCTGTTCATTAGCAGAAAGCACACAAGAGCTTCGGCTACCGGGCAGTTTAAAACATTAAATAAGCAGACAAGTCAGCAAAAATTACAAAAAGGGACACATTGCTTTTTCTTCAACTTCTCTCTGTTTTGAAATCCAAACATGTTCCCCTGAGTTATCAACAAGAAAGCAGAAGTAAATTCTAATTGTACACATGGAAAATAATGGACATGAAGCACTTCATACAAAATGGAATAACCTGATCCATGTCACGTTCATGTTAGACCAAGCTATGGGTTAGAAATAACCTTTTCTTCCTTCTCCTCCTCTTCTTCTTGACAGATTGAAGCTTTACATTTTAAAAAATTAAAATGTGTTGTTATTATTAAGGTTGCAATCAATAGAAGTGAAGATGTGTAGCTCGGGGTTGAAGTGGGGAATCATTGTGGTTCTCTGAGCTTGGTTGTTTTCTTGCAAATGTTTCGTTACCCGTATGTTACCTAGCTGGGTAACGAAACGTTTGCAAGAAAACAACTAACCTCAGAGAACCCTAAGGTTGCAATGTTTCATAACATTATTATTTTTATTTTGGGGTTCTTCATCATCTCTGAGCTCGGTTGTTTTCCTGCAGATGTTCCTCAGAGAACACCACGAACCCGGTGGATGAACCCTGAGATAGATATATTCTCTCCATTTCTTTTTTAACTATTGCTTGATGTTAGGATGGCCTCTTGAGCGGAACCAATTAACAGATCAGAATATTAAAAGAAGGTAAAGCCAATTAATTGAGCGCCCTAATCACCATCCAGCACACCCAACAGACATGGTGGTTGAGGTTCAACCCCTGTGGACCTAGGGGACACCATGTTGAGAGAAATTGATGTAAACCAGGTGGGGGAATGTGAATTTGAAACATTTCAGAGACAAGAAAATGTGCTTGAGAATGTCAGCTGTAATTTATTCAGCTTCTTAGAAGAGGCCCCATCTTTCTGAGAAGCTTGCAGGAGCCCCAGGTGACATCCCTTCTCTTCCAGCTACTCCTCCAATGACATCTGTCTTTTCCTTTCTTGCAAGTGGAATTGCTGGAACAGAAGACAAGCGAAGAGACAGATCTGTGGCAGTGGAAGTTCCTCACCTTGACTGAAATCCTGAGAGACTTACAGATTGGCAAAGGTATTGTGGGCAGGGTGGAAACCAGGTGGTGTCCTTGTAACTAGGAGTAGTTCTCTTGGCTTGAGGGCTGAAGACCCCTTGAAGCCTCCCAACAGCCACCCAAATATCGCGGAGAAGCTCTTCGTGATAGCGCGAAAGGAAAAAGTGGACGAGCACTGACCATTCCTCACCCTTTTCAAACGTGTTGAAGGAAAAGGTTCTAATTGTGTGGTTGTAAACTGCTTAATATATTTATTTATTAGTGTACCACCATAATCTCCAAGGTCTCCTCCTGATTAATGGCTGATTAATAGCAACACAAAGCATGTTATTATTATTACTGCTGCCAAGGAATAATACCATAAAGGAACAAACAAAAAAAACCCCACATTTTTAACTATTGTTCTCTGGAAACTCAAGTTCCAGACAGAAATCCAAGTAATGTCTTAAGATATAATATGTGCCAAGTGAATTTTTTTTTTCTAAATCCACCGCTGATGCAGCTGAAACATTTTGTTCTTGTAAATATTTGTTTCATCTGTTTATTATTCTGCCTAATGTGCCAATAACTGCAGGGATGACTGCAAAATCTTCCGCATAAACTATCCATTTAAATTGTCAATCTCAATTTTTGGTAAGTTTTTCCAATTTTTTCCCCTTCATTCTGCTGTCCTTGTTATCTTGCCACATCTACAAACCTTTCTCTTTTCTTTTCCATTATTTTTATACCCGGTGTGCTGCATTCTAGATGGTGATCATTTCTACGTGAAAATCCCATAAAAAATTTATATTGTTTTCAATAACTTTTTCAATGTTGTGATTATTCCACATTTGGGAAGCTCAGAAATTATAATTTTTGCACAGATGCCCATGGACCATGGTAGCTACTCTGTCGTGATGTTGTTTATAGTCAGTCTGAGCAATTTTGTTGAGCCCATTCATTACCTGCTCCACGGTTTCATCTTTCTCTCTCTAAAGCCTGCATTTGCTGCTGTTCGATACAGGCGGGACCCTTGATTTCATCCCATTTGCTTGTAACGCTTGTTCTTGAGGTGCAAAAATCAGTCCTTGTCATCCCCAGTTCCAAGGATTAAACCCTAACCCTTGGAATCCCTGCCAACTCCAGGTCTTGTCTATTTTCAGTATCTTTTATGTCCTGGCCATGTCAAATTGCTTCTCCAATTTCTGAACAGTTTTCCAGCAAACAATTCCCTCTTAGAGTCCTCTTCTGCTTTTGCTACTTGCAGGATATTCTGGGATGAGCCTTGTCTCTTTGCTTGACTTAATATAATAATTTAGTCCACCTATCATGATTGTGATAAGGAGTATTGTTATTCCTTCAATCCAATCTTTATGACAGTCAAAGACCAGCATATGTTCTTGCTTCAGCTTAGACCGCAGATGTCTGTGAGGACTTGGAGGGCATGGTCCAAATGTGAGTTGCTGATGCCCATCTGCTTTTCTTCTCTCTAGTTCCCAGCTGCAGCGTCTGCAAAGTCCAGTGGGTGCAGCAAGGCAATCTCTGTTTCCTCTTCCGGGATAGGCCAATGGGCTGGCATTCGAGCCAGGGCTTCTGCCAGGATGAGAACGCTAATCTGGTGGTGCCCAGGAACACTGAAGAGATGGTACCGGGGCTGAGGGAGATGGAAAAGACCTAAGAGGGCGTGGTGGGCCAGGCGATGGCGTTGTGAAACTGTAGGGCAGTGTTTCTCAACCTTGGCAACTTTAAGATATGTGGACCAACTCCCAGAATTCCCTGAGTGAATCAGAAAGCCCTAGGACTCAGGGCCAGGTGGCCTGGGCTTCTGAGTGCCTCATCTCTCCTCTCCTGACACCCACAATGGACATTCCAGCTGGGGAGAATGGGAGTTGTAGTATAGCAGCTTGGAGCCGGCTTGAGCTAGGATGGTTACAAAGATGATGAAAGAGTCCCCTAGGAATTTGAAAGAGAGATGCTGTTTGTGGCCTATATGTACATTCCACTTTTTCTTCTGATAAATGGCATTTGAAAAACCTGCTTGGTCCAGCACCAGGAAGGGGTTTAAAAATGGTTGATAGGCCCTAAAGAGCACTGCCCCTCTTCCATCCTCTTAGAAAGGATGGCATCTTCTTCATTAGAAAAGATTGCCCTTGTTAGTAATAGTTAGAGCTGCTTTCGGAATAAAATAATGGCAGCCAAGAGGAATCTACTTTTTCACATGGGAAAAACCCTCAAATTGGGGATTTGGGGCCTGGCTGCTACAGAAAGGCTGGTTTGTATAACATGCTTTCCCAGTTCACTTAAAGACATATCAACTGGATTTGCACATTGTGGGTATGATTCAGGGTGCTGTGTGAACCCAGACTATGTATTCACTCAGGATAAAGGGAAAGCATGTTTGATTGATTGATTGATTGATTGATTGATTGATTGATTGGTCTATCATATTTTTATGGCAGCCAGGTCATGAATCCAGTCAACCTTCATCCTTAGCCAGGAGTCTGCAGTTGTTATCTTTCTCTTGAAGCCTGAGAATGCCTGACTCTGGTCACTTTATATTTTAGACCTTCCTGAAGTTTCATTCCAGTAAACATCATCACCTGAATCCTGAGGTGTATGAGTATGACAAATACTGGATTGGTTTATCATATGATGTCACGGAAGGAAGATGGCTGTGGGTAGATGAAACTCCCTTCAACTCCACGCTGTAAGTTCTGTCCAGAATTGGTGAACTCCTTACATTATGAACCCTAATAAGGGATGAGAATAACTCTGTTGTTGAAAGTTACCTAACATCCTTGACCACTGCAGCAAACATTTCAGATTATTTTCAGAGAATCTCTGTAGCTCAGGGTTGGACTGTGGAGTCCTTGGTGCTCTCTGAGCTTGGTGGTTGCCTTCCAGACGTTTCATGACCCAACTAGGTAACATCAGCAGTGCTGGTGAGTGTGGGATTTGCTGCCTGTTTATATGCAGTCACTTGCCCTGCCAGTTTTGGTGGAGGTGTGGTTTCCACCTTGATGTTTCCTTGATTAGAGTATTGTTTCCTGCCTGTTTGTTTGTCTGGTATTAATCCCTGCTTACCTGGGTGTTGGCTGCTGGAGGGGATGTGTTCTGGTCTTTTTGTTCCCTTCCTAAGTTTTTTATTGTCTCTTTTGAATGGTGTGTAAATGTGGTTTATCTCTATGTGTCTATTGATGGCTGATTAGTCTGAATGCCAAGCTTCCAGGAATTTTGGATTTGGCTTGATCTAAAATGCTAATAATTTCCCAGTTGAAACTATGGTTGAGTCTGTCCATGTGCTGTGAGATCACAACATGTGATCACATTCATATACCATATATAGTTGAGCAAACTACTATATACTGTATAAACAGGTAGCAAACCCCACACTCCCTCTCACTGATATTGTTACCTAGTTGGGTAATAAAATGTGGATGCTTGGATGCAAACAAGCATCCAAGCTCGGAGAAGCACCAAGAACTTCACAAATTGTTTTTATAGGTCCCTTAATATGTTGCATGAAAAAAAAATGTCTTCCATTAGAATCTGTTAGACCTCTGGGATATGCTATCTCTCAGTCGACAGGGATGATTTAACCTTGGGCCCTCCCATTTGTTTGTCACGATGACTAGCGTAGCCTGTGAGGGACAGGAACACATTTCAGAAATATCGTCTTTGGACTGAACATCAAGATAACTGTGTTTCTCAGTGTTTCTCATTTCTTAAACACAAAAGCAGACTTCTGTTCCATAAGCAAGCCACCCTCTCTATTCTCACCTTTATTTATTTTGGTATCAGAATTTTGCATGCAACGGCACACTCATTGCAGAGCCATCCGGCCCTCAACCGACCATGTTGTCCTTCCAGTACAATTATTCCAAACATTTTGCATGACTCACTTAATGTAGAAAAGATACACAGTTAAAGCCAGCAGAGAGAAAAAAGGAAGATTGTGGGTCAAAATCAACCAAACTTACATAATCATCATTTATGACCTGCTGGGGAAGATGGGCGGCATGCAAAAATGAATGAATGAATGAATGAATGAATGAATGAATGAATGAATAAATAAAATGACCCTCTATAGCAGTGTTTCTCAACCTTGTCAACTTTAAGATGTGTGGACTTCCACTCCCAGAATTCCCATGCTGGCTGGGGAATGCTGGGAGTTGGTCCACTCATCTTAGAGTTGACAAGGTTGAGAAACACTGCTCTATAGTAATATCTTGGCAGGCCCAAGCAAATAGATGGTGCTGGAAATTTGTTCCAGCTGGACTTCCCTAGAAAAAAACACTCCAACTTTAAGACATCACTGTTAGAATAGCCTTGCTGGACCAGGCCAAGGCCTTAGTCTAGTGTCTCACAGCAGCCAAGCAGGCACCTCAAACAGGCAGATGTTTCTCTCTCCTGCCCTTGTTCCCCAGCAACTGGTATTTAGAGGCCTGCTGCCATCAACTGGAAGGTAAAATGGAGTCTTCAAGACCAACAGCCCTCCATAAACTTGTCCAACCCCCTATTAAAGCCATCACCGTGTCTTGTGCTAATAATGCACTATATGAAAGATGACTTCCTTCTGTCTACTTTAAATCTCCTTCCATCCAGCCTCATTGGCAGGCCCTCTCCCAGCGTTTGGAGTTCGGAGAACAGTTTCCTGACTGTTTTCTCCATGCTGTGCATGACTTTATAAAGCTCAAACGTGTCCTCCCCGATCACTTTCTTCCCATGCTAAAGAATCTCCAAAGTTCTAGACCGTGCAAGGAAAGTTCCCTTCTTTGACCATTATAACAGCTCTATGATATCCCTTTTCAAATTCAGTGACCAGAACTGTACACAATATTCCAGATGGGGGCATGTCGAAGGTGGTAAAGGGGTATTACAATGTGGAATCAAAACGCAGGACACAAATGCAGAATAATCAAGGCTTCACTGCAGTGTTTATTAGGCAGTATGTACTGGAGGGGGACCCCACCAAGGATTAGTGGGAGACCCTCCCCTGCAGGCAAAATGGATGCCCTGATATTTATACAGCTCTACAAGAAAGGAGAAGGGGAAGGGAAAGGAACGCATACGTATTCATTCATATGACGATGCAGGCAGACCTACATAAGCAATGCTTCTCAGGTTACTTTCTGCCCCTGTTCTTGGCCGCTATCTACAAGGACGGGACAACGGCTATCTACGAGGAAAACAGTAGAGGAAGAAACAAATTGTTCAAGGTGCCGACTGCCGGGAAGAAGGCGTCCTCCCTTACATTGCTACGGGGATGTTTGCGATCGGGGGTTTACAGCCAGCCTGGTTCGCGCCAGCTTCAAGGCTGCCGCACCTTCCTTTCTGTTTCAATTTTATTAAGGCGACCCCATTCGTCTGAGGCCTCTAGAAACTTGCTTCTTTCACTCAAAGGTATATTTTCCTCCCAACAATGTGGGCAGTTTCACGTCCGTTCTCTTTCCTAATGTTTCCTAGCATGAATGTGCCTTTTTTAAGCCGCCGTACAGAGTCAGTCTCCTCGCTGTGCTTTTCAATGTGACCCCTCTTGGAGGGGGAAACCCTATAGCACTTTTCCCCTCCCCTCTTGTCCTCCCCTTCCCCCCCCCCCCCCCCCCCCACCAGTGGTCACAATCACCACAGAAAGTAACAGTGCCCAGCACGACACCTGAATGGAGTGGTTATGGACTCAAAGCTTGAGTACTGTAGTCCCCTCACTACGTTTCTCAATTCCGGCCCAGCTAATTTGAGGTACACATCCCTGGCCCACACGATTTTCCCAATTAATGGAAGAAGAATGTTTATCCAAATGGATAATCTGATTGTTCCCCAAAGGTGTCTTGTAGCTCTTTGACTCCAGAAAGATTTGCCAGTGTGGAAAAGGGAGCGAGAGGAGCAGCAGCAGCAAAAAATAGCCAAGAAGTTGCAACCTATAAAATTGAGAAGGTCTCACACGTGACACACACACACACACGCACCACCCTGGAGCTCCTTTTTGTCTCCTATTTTGTGACCCAAAATTATTGGACTTAGACTGGCTGGTTTTCACCAGTCTTGTCATGGAATACGGTTCCGGTTTAGAGGGCGATCTGGGGAGGCGTTTAGTGTTCTCGGGCAGCTCTCGGCCGTGGGAGTTCCTATCCTGGCCTTGCTGCTTCTATCCGTCCTTCCCTCATCCTTGGATCTTCTCCTGGTCTTCAGCCATCCTTGTTTTAGTCCGCCCTGGCACCTGTCTGCTCAGATGGGCTGGGGGACTTCATTGGACCAGGTATTCATCAATAGAGGTGCATATGTGTAGCTCAGGGTCGAACTGTGGAGTCCTTGGGGGTCTCTGAGCTTGGTTCTTTTCTTGCAACCGTTTCATGCCCCGGTTAGGTCACATCTCAGTGAAGGGGTTTGGGGGCTCTCTGTATCTAGCCGGGTAATGAAACGTTTGCAAGAAA